GGCGATTTGACGCCCTCTTGGGCAGTGTTAGGGGCCTTTTGGGAAGCCTTAAGGGCTTTCATGGACGCAGCAGAAAAACATCGCGTCGCCGATTGTTTTGTGTGCGCGTGCACGTATCCTTGGGTGGACAGCCGACGAGGGGACCACATTTCCTGGGAACAGCCGCCTCGGGCAGCCGAAGAGGACCCCAGCGTGGTGAGTCACTTTGGCGGTTGAACCATGTCGGATGTGCAACTGCGGTTCAGCGTCGACGCATACGTGCGGGACTGCCAGTCAGAACCGATCGACGGATCTTTGGACTTTGACAAAGATGCACTGGGGGGGGGAAGGTTTTGACGATTGGTTCGTGGCAGTCCCGACGTCACGCGGTGAAGTGATAATCTTGCGTTGTCCTGAATATCAGCGGTGCCACAGAGGTTGTCAGGAGAAGGGAACGGCATGTCCGGAATGCAGTGCGCCTCTGTGCGCGGAATGCAAGATAAGGGTGGGCACCCCGTATCGGTGGCCAGTCACTGCGGTCCCGACAGTTCCGCGCCGCGGTCTTGCGAATGACTTGATGGCGTTCTACGCGCCAGATCGCATGTACACAGAAGGCATCAGTGACGGAGATGATATGCTGCAGCCCCTGTATTGCGTCGATGGCTACATGTTCGTTAGAGGTGAGGTTTCATATCGACCAAGAAAATAGTAAGGGCAAGGAGACTTGTTTGACAGCGCCGCAGGATTTCACAGCGGGCGTCTGGCAGCACGAGGGAATGCCACGAGCTTCGTGTTACCGCGGCGAGGGCTATTGATTGCATGGGCTCGGCCAGCTGAAGGAAGGGCGACAGGGAAGCGACTCGGCGCTGCCGATCGTGGGAGACAAGTTGGGATCGGTGGTGCAGATCCTTCTGAAAACCAGCGACGCCTCTACTAAGGACAAGTTTCCGTCTTTCAGTCATCGAGCGAACGTGCGGCGCGAGGTTGCGAAGCGCCACATCCAGATGATGAAGCACGGACGCAGGGCCTTCGCGAACGTCAACGTGGAGGCTATGGAAACAAAGGCCGAACAGCTGCCGAGGGATGGCGCGCCGCCGGAGATCGTCCGGCCGCTGCCGCATGACGCGACGTTGGACGAGGTCACGGCGCGGAAGAATGCGACGCCGCGCGATGGGGCGCGAGATTATTTGCGAGCGGCTGCGCGCGACATAGATTGGTTCGCGCCGAATGCCGCCCTAAAGTCGTTGGTGGACGAAGTGGATGCGAACAAGTTGAAGCAGGGTGCGCTGGAGCATGCATCTGGGAGGTCACCAGCGAAGAAGTCAAGGTCCAGGCGCGACGACGGCCGTCCAGGAGGGTGCAATGGCCAGGGGGGTGCGACGGCCGTCCAGGAGGTCTCGCGCTGCGTCTCGCAAGTACGCGGACGGGTAGGCGCGACAGGCCCGAGTGCCCGCGCGGTGGAGATAGAAAGGAGCGCGCTCTCGCGAGGACGAGCGCATGGGGGGCAGGGCGGCGAGCGTGGATCTGGAGACTGCGCAGTCCCGGCTGTGGGAGATGATGGATGCGGACGCGTCTCGCCCTCGTTGCGTCGTGTATCCAGGGCGCCAGATGATGGGTCAATTCGTTTCGTTCTTTCTCTTTTTTTTTGGGAAGGGGTGGCGTTTCCGTTTCGTTTCAAATTCGGGGCGGGGGTGCCGGGCCTGCTTGAGCGGCAGGGGAATGCGCGCCATCGACGCGGCTCAGCGGCGCCTCGCGTGCAACTGGCCCTGTGGGCGCGCGTCGCGACGCGCCTGGTGCAGTCTTAATTCCGGCGGGAGAGGAGATCTGGATTTACGGTGTCGTCGGTCTCGTTTCGCAGTTCTGCGAACGTGGCGCGAACCGCGCGACTGGCGGACAACCGGAAAGACGGGCATGCGGAATGCCAGTATTCGAAAGGTGAATTGGAGAGGGCGGCCGCGAGCGTCGTCGATGTTGCGCGCGGCGCGCGCGAGGGCCCGTCGACGGGGAAGTCCGCGGACGCGCGCGGGGATTTTTCGAAATTGAAGCTCGCGCAGTCGCTCGACCCGACAGCGAAGCAATTGGCTGCAGGGGCCAGCGCCGTCGCTCGCAAGATTGAAGGGGCGAACGAGGTGCGGGCGCTCATGGGGCACGACGCCAATGCGGCGCGACTCGCGCATGGGGCGCCGTTCTTTTTCGCCGCGTCACCGGACGAGACGCACAACCTGGCGATGGTGCGGCTCTCGCGGTCGCGGAAAGAGGACCCCGTGAATCTTTGTGCGGCGCGGGCGCATCATGGCCCCGCGCGCGGGGGGCCGCGGGGGCAGTCGCTCGGGCACGCGGAGAAAGTGCTGGGAGAGGTCGCGCCCAGGGATTAGGGCGAGCAGGCGGGAGAGAGCGCGTCGGGCACAGAAGTGGTAGAGGGCGAGGGCGACGCGGGCATGGCATCGCCTGCGTCGACGTTGACAGATGCCGTTTCCCGCGTCGGACGAGAGAAGAGCAATTCTTGCTCGGGGCCCGCTGG